CGTCCGTAAAAACGTAGACTATTTGGGGTCCAGGTAGAGTTTGGCGGTTAAGGTTTAGGGATTCGGGTGTTTGGCTTTGTTTGTTGACCCGTTCTGCTTTGTTGGCGCTCCGGGTCCTAAGCGCGCTGCCTGCCGTAAAACAAAGTACATTGCCGGGGTCGTGGCCTTATCTGGCTGAGCTTGCAGGCCCTAGAACCCCTATCAAGCCCAAACCCTGTCCCGGCGCTCCGAAGCACCACCTTGGCTTTCAGCCTCATCAGCCGCCCGACCTTGTCTTTCCGCCTCTTCAGCTTCAGCATCCTAAACCCTACATAAACCCTAAACCCTAAACCCTAAGCCCTCCACCAAACGCAACGTCGCGTACTGCTGAGCCGGAGAAGAGCTGTCCTTCCGCCTCCCCGAACCCAAAGGCTCCATGTACCTTTATAGTACATACTTAGGCCTTAAAGGGGTCCCTATATAGGTACTTTAAGGCCGAAGTCTGCACTAAAGGGCACATGGACCCTTGGGGGAAGAGGAGTCACAGTCGCTAGAGAACGCTGCTTCTTCAAGCGCAACCCTGACCGTCCCTTTGGAGGCCGCTCTGCGCATCTTCCTGTCACAGGGGGTTGACGGAGGGCACCGATCGTCCACCGTTTCCTGAGTCATCGAAGAGCAGCTCAAAATCAGCGAGATACAATGTCTTGTCGGGTATATTGGCCTTGCAATCAGTAGCGGGAAACCTTTACCCTCCAATAAATTAGCATTGCACCGATTTAACACCCGACAGGCCAAACATCTGAAGTGCTCTACTCATAGAGGCCCTAAGCGCTAAACCCCTCTTATGCCCCAAACGCTACGCACTATACTCGAAACCCTCAGAGACCTTGGGAAACCCTAGGTCTAAATCTTAAGCAACCTTCAGCAAAAGGGATTTAACTGTAACCCCCAGCCCTAGGGGACTGTAGGCCATGACCCTTTCATTCATTGTAGGGTACCCCCCCCCAAAAGAATAGGTTTTGTGGGATCCCCAAACAAAGCCGTGAGCATTCAGGGTTTATAGGGCATAGGCCTTCAGGTCTAGGGTTAGAGAGACTCCAATCTTAAACACCCTTAAAAGCGACAGACCCACACCCTGCTTAAAGTTGCTGAGTTCAGAAGCCCCAAACAAGTTTCAGTTCCAGCATAAGACCGGTACGTAAAGTGTGCCCATTTAGCTACTACCTGGACCCTATAAAACCTTCCTTTTCAGGGTTCCCCAATACGAATTTCTGAATATACGTCCTTTAAAAGTAGGTTATTTGGGTCCAGGTAGGCCTGAGATCTAAGGTCCGGCCTCTTCGGTGCCCGCCGTGCTGGCTGCGCCTTAGGGTTCTATCTGCTTCTTGCTGCTCGACCCTAAAGCTTATACAGGCCCTGAGCCCTAAAACTAAACCCTAAGCCCCAAACCCTAAACTAAACCCTATAAGCCCTAAGCCGCAAACCCTGAACCCCAATCTGAAAACCCGAATTAAGCTGGAATCCTCAATGATGTTTAGCGTTCAGGGTGGTGCTTGGGATTGGGGGCCTTAGGGCTTGGGGGCCTCGGGAGCTTCGGGTTTGAGGTATGAATATATATATATATATATATACACATACATATATACATATATATATATATATATATATAGGTAGATTATATAGGGTTTAGGGTTTAGGGTACACGATCCAGGTCCTCAACCCAAAAGCCTGATAGCCCAGACCCTAAACCCTGAACCTGAACCCTATAGCCTAAACCCTAAACCCTAAACCCCGAGCCATAAACCCTAAACCCTGCAGCCTGAACCCTAATTCCCTAAGACCTGAAGGACAAGCTCCCCCGCGAGCTACTGCACAAGACGAGGAACTCGGGTCTTGACTACGGACCAAAAAATGGCCAAGGCAAAAGAACCCTTGTTGTCGACCGAAACTTCCATAGGGGCTTTAATCATTCCTTATTATCAGTTATAATCATCGTGCAATAGACCCCAAAGCAACATTTCAATTATTAAGGCCCCTTATAGCTCGACCCGGAACGCTGAACCCCTCGATTTGGTTTCGGGCTTCGGCATGGAGGGTCGTACTATAGAAACCTGAAGAAGTACACATACTACTGTTCATGATATAAATCCTGCATTACCTTAAGGCCCTAAACTATGGGAATTATGGTATACTCCTTACTATGGGTAACGCAGGATTTATATCATCAGCCGTATTTCTTGGGTTTCTCTAACGTAGCTGTAATCGGCGAAATCCGTCTCATCATGAGGGCCCGGCCTCAGAACTCCAATAACCAAGTAATGAGCGCGATGGCCGTTGCTTTCACGCACTTTCGGTATGCGAGGCGTATCTTCACGGTCGGCGATATGTAGGGAACCGTCTCATGTCGTATGCTTGTTTGTCCGGGCGGCGCCCTTAGTGCCAATGCCAAACAGCAGCACGTTCCTCTTGCCAGAAAAACCCAGCACCAACTACAAGCGCTCGTCAGTTAAATGACCTCACCCTAACCCCCGGGCTACCTACTATATAGGGTGCTAGAGCCCCTAGGGCCCTATATAGTAGGTCACTGGAGGGTTAGGGTCACAGCTGCTCAGTGTTGATGCACCAAGGTCCTTCTCAATCCTGCGAGTGAAGGCTTTAGGGTTCCAGGTTTATGTAGGGCTTATAGGGCTTCCAGGGTTTCCAGGGCCTACAGGGTTTTGGGGGTTCCGCTCTTTAGAGATGAGAAGCAGGCATCTACAGATACACTCTTGTCGGGGAAGTTTGTGCAATAGTAGTGTTGCCCAATACTTTATAACCCTCAACCCTAAACCCTAAACCGTTACTTGGTTGCTTCCTTGGAAAAGTTCAGAACCGCCTTGTGGCTTTGAGGGCACCGGCTAAGGCAGAAATGCCGAAACAAACCTAAAGCCGTAAGCGCCCCGTAGATCCGGAGAACCGTGCTGAACCCTAAACCCCAAGCTCGAAATCCCGAACCCCACACCCTAAACACAATGCACACCCTAAACGCTGTAAACCATAAACTCTAAACTGAGATCCCGCACGCCACCAATCGCGGGACTGGTTGATAAGCAGATCCATGGGCTCCGAGACGCTCGTCTGCACCAGCTTGTTTCTTAAAAGGGTTTAGAGTTTGGTACGGTTTAGGGTTGAGGGTGTGACAAACGGAAGCGCGCTTTTGTCGGCGCGCGTCGGCCTGCAGGCTTACCCACCCCAAGGCCACCCACTTGCAACTCTCAGGGCATACGGCCGTTTCTGTTTCTTCGCACAAGTAGGGCGAGAATACATGCAGGACTGTCGGAGTGTGTTTACAACGCGGATGTTCAAATTCCTACAACTGCGTTTCATGCGCCGTACCTTTTGTTTCATTCTGATTGGCTGATTTTTGAGCCCGTTGAGACTAAGAAACTTGTGTTAAGAAACCCAGAGTACCCCAGTAAAAAACCGTGTGCCTCACAACTAAACAGCGAGGGTACCGTTTCTCAAGCAGCCCATCGCTGTGCTGTATGGTATGTCTATATACGGAGCTAAAAGGGAATATCTTTACTATTCGTCCCTAAACCCCAAACCCTAGCCCCAAACCGTGAAGGCTGGCCAAAGTATATGACATCCAGGAATTGCAGGTGGAGGTTCATGGATTGAAACGAGTGGGGTCATAAGTCCCCTGATATGGGTCGCAAGTATAGCTACCCTACTTAGAACTACCCCTGAACCTGCAAGTAATTACATGAGCGTTCTCGTGGGCACACCAATAAGGAAGAATCTTCCGTAGCATCCCGTGACTTAAGTCCTAAACCTCAGGCCACAACAGCTCAAAGCCCTTAATTGTTCAGGGTGTTTCAAAGCCGAAGAATCGGCAAATTGTGTTGTCTTCGCAAGTTTTGAAGCGCCACATCCATCAACTCAACCCTGCAGGTACCACCATCGATACGATGATACGACGTATCAATCAGAGTCCCGTTGCATCACATGCGACAAACGCTTAAATAGTCACCAGTTTTTAGTGTTCCCCCTAAAATCTATTAAAACTAGTAATCATACACACCCCCAAGCCCTGTTCCAATCAGTAATGCCCCTACCTTACTAAATCTCATCTTGGGTTCAGGGATCTCAGGCTGTTGCGTTGTGTGTCGGACTCTGAGCTGACAGTGATAGTGTGCTAGGGTTTAGGGTTTAGGGTTCGGTTCAGGGTTTAGGGTTTAGGGTTTCGGGTTTAGGGTTTAGTGTTTAGGGTTTAGGGATACTATAAAAAGTGTTCTGGCTCAAGGTTTAAGGCTCACGGTTTAGTGTGGTTTAAGGTTTAGGGACGGTGCCATAAGGGTCTTCGGGATTAGGGTGTCGTGTGTGTCGGGTTTGGGGTCATTGGGGCGCTAGGGTGCCAGGGCCAGTGCTGCTTGAAGGTTCATGGTTCTGCTTAGTCTTAGCTGCGGGAACATGGCTTGAGCTTAGAAAGCCTGAACTGGCGATATGACCAGTTGTACCTGTAGGCCGTTTGACCCACAACAATTTAAAACAACCTGAAATCTAAACCCTAAACCCTATGAAACCTAAACCCCTAAACCATAGCAGGGCTTCGATGGAGTTTCCTAGCCGCCAGAAGGCTCTCAACCCGGAATACTGCTCCCCTTCCAAGGAGAGCCTGACCACCTGTTTCTGGAGATCCATAGTCAGAATAGAAACCATCAGCGTGGGTCTTTATTACTAGGGTTTTTGAAATAGGTAGTTCTCTAAAGCAGGGTCGCTTTGCAGGTCCCAAGCATAGGACGGCACTCTTATACTGTCATATACGAGGACCCTAGAACGTACTCTAATTTAGAGAACTATCCATATGGATGAAAAGTTGTAGGTTATATAAGCCCCAAAGGTTAAAGTTTATCTACTCAGCTGTTAAGGAAACAAACAGAAGGTACCTAAACCCTAAGCCCCTAAACCCTAAACCCAAATTCTAAGCCCTAAACCCTAAACCCTAAGCCCTAAAGCCTAAACCCCAAAAGTCACCTGGCCTGGGACACGTCCGACGTTGCAGCCGTGGGCCGACAGAGGTGAACGATGCGGGAGGGCCACATGCTATCGTCTCCTGTTGAGAGAATGAACATATAGGGGCCTTCATACTTAGAATAGGGTTTATCGGGTTCCTTTAAGAGGGTTCCTTTGAAAGGGCTACTACAAGGGTTATACTATAAGGGGTTAATATATACTAGGGGCCTTCATAGTTAGAATAAGGTTTTGGGACATACTATACTATAAAGATAATAAGGAACCCCAAACGTAGGAGTTTAGGGTTTAGGGTTTAGGCGTCTCCTGTTGAAAAAGATAAGAAGATAATGGTTTGGGGTACCGCTTCCTTCAGCGGCTTGCAAAAAACCTCCAACTATAGATGCCTCTCCCTCTCTATAATTATATATCTATGCCTGTGCATCTATGCCTCTTTACACCTGTACATCTGTATACCAATGCATATTTTTATGTGTCTTGTCTATGCCTGTGTCTACACCTTTATCTGAAAGTTATCTTTCTGTCATACAAACAAATAAATACATATAGCTCTATAAACCTGTATATCTCATATGTATATGTATCATTATATGTACATACAGCTGTATATACACGTAGAGCTTGGATTACTAATCCCACTGCTGTAGGGACTTAATCCTGTATTTATATGAGGTGCACAAATACCCCGCAGCCTCAATCGTCAGAACTTGGCAACTGTGAAAGCCAGAAACCAAGTATAACAAAGATCGAAACAGCGGGAGGACTGTATGAGTCTTACGACAGATGATCTACGTAGAAGTCCTTCAGTGCTCATGTGGATTCACAGAACAAGCAGATCGCAAAAGCCCGAACACCGGTTTTCAATCCTTCCGAAGCTGCCGCTTCATCGAAAACAAGGTTTCTCTTATTATATATTGTTATAACTACTATCATTGTTATAATAATAACTATATATATATATATGTACATACACATGTGTATACATATATATATATATATATATATATGTGTAGTTATATACATGAAAGTACATGTGTATGAGTTTGTATATGCGTGCATGTATGTACATATATACTTATATATATATATATGTATATATATATATATTTACACATGCATACATATATACCTACACGCCATGCCCCACAGACCGCACCCAGAATGCCCGAAACCAAACAGCAACCCGAAACCTGAACTCCGTAAGCCCAAGCTTCAAAGAGCCTTAGAAACCTATAGTAAACCCCAAAAAGTTGGAAACCGGAGTAAGGACAAGCAGTGCTGGGATTGCTTAGACGTTACTCTGAAGGATCGAAGCTATTGGGTTTCCAACTTTTGGGCTTGTACTATAAGACCTCAGGTGTGGATGCCCTTGTGAGTCCCTTCCTAGAGCACGCAACAGACTCGGTCCTTGCCCACACGTTTCCGCGGGCGCACAAGAGCCTGTTGGGCATTGCCAGCAATTTGTTACATGAACACGGAGAGGATTTAGGATTTGGGTAGTTTTCTAAATTAGGGTCCCTTTTAGGGTCCTTAGTATAAGGGTGCCGTGCTATTATGGGGACCTAAACAGGGAACCTAGTTTAGAGAACTACCCATTTAGGGGTTTCAAGGCTTTCGGTCTGATTACGGTTTGAGGATTGGGTTGTCGGGTTCGGGGGACCCAACCCCGAAGCGCAAGCATGTCCGTAAAGCCTCAACCCTCAACCCTAAACCCTAAACCGGATAGGGTTTTGGGTTTAGGGTTTAGGGGTTTTGAGAGGATCTTGTCGCCCTTCAATTCAAAGTGCACTTTCTGAGGTCGTTCGAAGGCTAGATCGTCATGTACAACCCCGATCCCCAGCCCTTACCCACAGGCTTTACGACTAAGGATAACCACAGACAGACACAATAGTGGGAACAATGATATCAGGACCCCGGCAGAAGGTACTGCGAAGCTTCGAGTGTCGAGAATCCGACCCCACCGCCCCTAAACCCTAAACCAACGGCCCTAAACCCTAAGCCATAATTCACTTCAGGCTGATCCTCCGCCCTGAGCATGGATCACAATAATACGTCAGAGACCCCTGAAATCGGTGGGCTACCCAGAGGCTTATACCCCACCGTTTTTTGGGTACCTACTTTCCCATATAACAGATTCTAACTAAATAACTAGACACTCCTGAAGCTATCTGGGTTCATGAACCCTAAACCCTAAACCCTAATATCAAGGCTACCTGGGATCCGTGAAGATTGGGATGAGCCGCTAGGTAGGGTTTAGGGCGACAGCTGTGTGCATGTACATAGGCGTAGGAGAGGCAATCCGGTGCATGCAAGGTGTGAGTTTGCAGATACATTGCTGTCCCAGGCACAGATGCTCTTCACATACTCCGTGCTCCCCAACACCGCTCGCTGCAGCGTGTAACGAAGCACCTGAACACGATACTCCTATAGTATATACTTTTGCCTTAAAGTAGTCCCCACATGGGTCCGTTCGGGTTAAAATGTATGAAACTATATACTATATGGGCACATGGA